AATTGATTCTGGTGCATCTCTACAAAAAGTACATAGATCCTCATCCTTAAAATTAATTTGGTAAAGAAAACTGTTTGTTGTTAATATTCTATTAAGAATCTTAAATTGTAGATTTTGAAGTTTTGTGTCAATTGTCACCAGAAAGCTTGTTAAATAAATTTTCTCCCAACCTATATCATCATTTAAATTTGTATTTAACTTTCTATTCCATTTTTCCTGCCTTTCAACTGGATAATGTTTATAGTTAGCAACAATCGCTTTATAAACATATCTAAGATCTTTTGCTTGAAGAAGTCTTCTCAAAAGATTACTGTTTTCTGATTGATTGGAGGAAGTTTTCTACCCAGTTGACGATCTTGTTATTAATACTTCTTAGTTTTCCAAGTAGTCTGCGGTGGGGGAGGGGACCGTGTCAAAGGCCTGCATTCACCACCGTTACCTATTGTATTGGTCCAATCTTCAAGCACCTTTAGCAATAAATCCAAATTGTTTCTTGCTTAAAAAGTTATTATTTTCCATATGACTAACGATAGCATTCCGCAGTATCTTTTCCATTGTTTTTCCTTCTATGCTGGTGAGGCTATTTCCCCGATCCGATTTTGGTCCCTTGAATATTTACAAGAAAAATGTACACGACATATTTAGGGTGCTGAGTGCGAATCTCAGACAATTCAAGATAAACAGCTGAAAACCGTCAGTTAACTACAGTATTGAACAAGCCCACATATACCGACGTAACAGCTTCCTTTAATGTTTCTTATCAAGGCTGATATTTTTATTATTAATATTATTATTTTCTTTATTTCCTCCAATTTGAAGATAACATTTAAACAGAAGAACAAAACATTACAAAACAATCATATTGAATACACATAAGCACCAAATAACATACATGACATATACACACTTAATTACATTGAAGTCATACATTCAATAAATATAATTAATAAGTGTATATATGATGAGGTTATACATACATATCATGTCAAACATTTTCATTGCCAGTTTCCATAGTACATGTATATGTGGTTGTTATATATTATGAACTATTACAAATCTGTTAAAATCACTATCATTTTTTTTTTATTTTATGAAACAAATCGACAAGCTAGGCCGGCTAGACAGGTATAATGCCGACTAATTACATTTAGCTTACAAGCAAGTGTCAAAATTTTATTTCTAATGACTAAAATTGGTAGAAATCCAAGTTCGATCAAGTTAACACTTGAAGCTTTAAGTTACAAGAGGAGCGTCCTCCTAAAACACATTACGGTGTAAGGGCAGTGTCCTCCTTAAGTAACGCTGTTTGATCACGAACTAGTCGTTAGTTGCTAGAACTGGTTCTGTGATCGATGGGTGTGCATGTCTATCTAGAATATGAGTTTACAGGATTTATTTGAAGCGCCAACCCATCGGCCGCGATATGTCGAATACTCGGCCACGTAAGTAGATCTATATACTAACTCGTAAGTAGTAAGTCTCTCATAAAGGAGTTAATTAAATCCAATTAATATTTCAACCCCCTGTTCTGCAACGTTTGCAGCGATCTATCATTGTTTTGAGGAACAATGGGGTAGCTATGAGACGCAAAAGATGAAAAAAAGCTAATAGATAACATAGAACACGAAATCAACTGGTTTATTAAAACAGTATGATCATCATAACTTTTTTTAGATATTTGAAATGACATCTATAACATGGTTAAGAATTGTTGATCTAGAATGATATAAAAAGGATATTTCAAAAATATTTACAATTCTTTTCGCGGCATCTCTTTAGTAGAATTTTAGAAAGACGAAGAATCAATTTAAGTTTCATTCTATTGAAAACAAAAGGCGACATCCACAAACAACTGTCATCGTGTAAAATGTATTATAAGAAACACAGACCAAATAACCTTTTATTAATTACTTTCTACTGGTTCAGGCTATAGAACCAACCAACAAGTACTCGAAATATGAAGTCTAGAAGCACATATCTAAAAAAAAAGTTTTGCGATGCAGAGAGTCAAACAGAGTAACCATATAACCATCTAGTACATTTAAGAATCTTCAGTGGAACTATTTAACGGCAAAATAATTAAAATACACGTCTGAAGTGTTCCGGATCATATGTAGAATACATTGATAATGGGAAAGGTGCATACGCAACCCTTTATATCGTTACAAATCTACAACATTTGGCTGTAGCTTATACTTATAGACTAATTAACCGTGCCATAATCACTTCCAGCCTCAAGATAACGTCCTGCCGCGGGTTCTGACAATCCACCAACAGAGTTAACCAATGTATTAAGTAAACAACTATAGGGATGAGGTGTAAAGAAACGTCCATTTCAAATCTAGTCTGTCTGATTTCCATGGTTAAACAAGTAACGTCACACCTACAATCCACCCCCGTCGAACTAATATTTTGGTTAATAACCCTACATAGCGGTATGTATTAATACAAAAGTGGAAAGACATATACACATCTGTTGCTCTGGAAGTCTATTTGTCTACGTAGCGTAATCCCTTAACAGAACTATCACATGCTTTACACAACGCAACGTCTCCTTTGTCTTCGGATTAATCAGTAAATGATTTAGCTCCCTAAGAATGCAATCAAAAAAATAAGCTGACGATAAAACTTATATAGAATTACTCCTGTTTTATTTAACTAAATGAATTAATACAAACAAATATCACATTTGAATTAAAAGCTGATGTTTTGATTCTTAATCTGATTATTATTGGATTTTGTGTAAAGAAATCTATTTATTTCATATCTACGTATTTAAGAGCATAGGCAACAATGCGTGATTTAAAAAAATAATTTCAAATGGAAAACAACCTCAGGATACAATGTATTGCTCGTGTCTATTAGATTGGATCCCTTACTAATAACCGTGTGCTGGGTCATGTTCGAGAGCTGTTTTACACCGATAGACTTTACCTACAGGTATTAAACTGAATCAAATGTTACAAAATAAAATAGAAATTACACTCTAACGTATGGATTCCAAAAGACGGTTAAATGAAGGATTAATATTTAAAACATAAATAACTTGATCGGGTTATCATACAATACACATATACTGCTTTGCTTAAATAAAGAACGGTCAAATCGGATTAACCAGCGATTAAGGTTGGATTAAGGTAACACACTTCAAATGAAATCAGCACAACTCGGAGAAAACAAAATGGCGTTTGTTCCGACTTGTTCCCCGTGACTGTTTGGTTGGTAAGTACTGTGATAAAATTGTATACATTCTATCAGTCAATGACTGTGATAGGACAGGAGATGTTACAGGGAACCGTACAAAAACTAGGCTATTATTGACATGTTGCTTATTCTATTTTATTAAGATTTAAAATGTCACGATGACACGAACAAGGTATGTTCTGAACATATTTAATCAAAAGTTTCAGGTACAAAAGATGGCATAACATAAACGTTGGTACGGACTATGTTATGTTTTTAGGTGTTTATTTCTATATAAATCCTGCCAAGGAAGTGCACATAAATAACCACTATTTTAGATATACGAATGCTTTGATATCTGATAAAAGTTTATATGTATTGTTTTATCCCCAGACACGACAGCAGAGACATGGAGGAGGTTGAGGACGATAATGATATCCTTCCAGACCTACCAGAGGGTGTTCAGCGTAATTCGGGGAGGAGGCGATCTTCGGTAGGTAATATTTACTGCGTACACAAGCTGTGGTAGGGTAAATGACATGCTGTTGTAGGGTTAATGATATGCTTTGGTCGGGTAAATGACACATGCCGTGGGAGGGTAAATGCCATAAGCTGTGGTAAGGTAAATGGCATATGCCGTGGTAGGGTAATGACACAATATGTGGTGGGGGTAAGTGACACAAGCTGTGGTATGTTAAATGACAAAAGCTGTGGCAGGGTAAATGACACAAGCTAAGGTAGGGTTAGGGTAATGGCACAAGCTCTGGTAGGGTAAATGACACAAACTATGGTAGGGCAAATGACACAAGCTATGGGAGGGTAAATGACACAAGCTATGGTAGGGTACATGACACAAGCCGTGGTAGGGTAAATGACACATACTGTGGTAGGGTAAATGACACATGCTGTGGTAGGTTACAAATGACACATGCTGTGGTAGGGTAAATGACACATGCTGTGGTAGTGTAAATGACACATCCATGTTTTATGGTAGGGTAAACGACACATGCTGAACAATAACAACATTTTCAATTACTTCGTCCACATATGAATCATCGTGTGCAACCACGTCTTTCGACATTTTGAAATTTGATTTGTATACTTGATTTTAGCATATCTGATTTATAGCACGGCATTTGATTGAAAATCATCAATAGTATTGCACCATTCGTGAAAAAACGTGAATTTTCGTGACCCATTTTTGTGCAATTCAAGTTTTCCTGGCTGATTTAAGAATTAAATCATATAGATTGGTTAAGTTAATAAATTGTTCTATCGGTATATAGACCGAAATCCGAGCACTCTTTTCATGAACCGCTCAGCTTCGGTTTTGGGTCTATGTATCGACCCAAAACCGATTTATTATCTAGTCCAGTAAAATACCCGTAAACGATCACAAGTACAGTGTACGTAATGTTTGTCACCCTGGTAAAGAACTAGCCGCTTCCTACCGACTCGGCTAGGGAAAATTTCTCCATAGCTATTTCGGTAGAGCGTAAGACTAGTAAGCTATATGTTCTGGGTTCGACTCCTCGTGGAAGCATTGGCAAATTAATTATCTCTAGTACATTGGTTCCCACGCTGGGACTCTGGAAATATTGACATATATGCTCAGCGACACTTTCACTAGAATCGTTATGACCCTTGGAAAACTCGGGACGAGTTCTTTCCTAAAGGGGGAGTATGTCACCCTGGTAAAACACTAGCCGCTTCCTATTGACTCGGCAAGGGAGACATTCGGTAGAGCGTTAGACTAGTAAGTAGGAGGCCCCGGGTTCGACTCCTAGTGGAGGCATTGGAAACTAATCACCTCTGTTACATGTGTTACTGTAAAGTACATCATAATGTAATTGAGTGTGGCCGGGTGGTGCAGTGAATAGCGCACTTGTCTTTCATCACTGCGGCCGGTTCCCCGATCGGACATGAAAAGGTTGGGGTCACCTGTCCGACGACGTGGGTTTTCTCCGGGGACTCCGATTTCCTCCCACACTAAGACCTCCCACGCGCTAACACCCGGGCCAACAATTGTGATTAATATAAGTTGAAATAACTTGTTTCATAATTGTTGTAAAATAAATAAAGTTTATATTCATAATGTTATTGATATCATCAGGATGTTTAAGGGAATTACACTATATTTACTAATACTATACAACTTTCTGTACCAATAGAAATATATCATTATAGGTTAATAACTATGACATACAACATTGGCATAGTTCCCTATCTAATTTGCAAAATTACTCTAAGGCGCTTTACAGTACATGAATAATAGTATTCTAACAGTGACCGTTATACATATAGTATATAGAAAGGGTCTACAAATCAGCATTTTACATCAGGTAAAATTAAAATTATCGCCATATGCATATAAACATGCATACCTATATACAAGTGAACTGATGTCTCTTTGCTTCAGCTCCACATTGAGGACGAGTACCTGGAGGGTGGCCGGAGACTGTCGATCGAAGGCTATCTAAAAGGACGAAGGAGATCCTCTATGCGTAGGGGAAGCAGCATCCTGGACCAGTCACAGCTACAGAAAGGTAGCATCAAGCCGAAAAATCCATTTGAGATTTACTCATCTGAGCCACTGTGGGAGAAATACGAAGATCAACCAGATATTCCGGATAGATGGCGAGGCAACACTATAGATAAGGGGTAATGGCATTCATTAATGGATTCACTTCTCAATTTGTTAGGCGTATCATTGGCTATTCCTTAAAAAAAATCACAGAAAAAAAGGAAATAGTACATATTGCCATATTTCTGATCTAGTCTTACAGGAAATGGGACACCGGAAATGCTGATCATTACAAGCTTCGTGCTCTACCTGTTACAGACTAAATTAATCAAAAGTACCGGGTGTTAACTTAAAACTCGGCTTTAAAACTATTTGACTCCATCGTTTCTTGTCAAAATGAGCGAAGAGAGAGGGATAACAAATTCAGGTTTATTCCATTTTTACGTTGTACTAATTCATCACTAGAAAAAAGACGCAAGAAAGAATGTATTTTGAAAAACATGTTGATACAGAAAGCCAAACAACAAAATCAGTGTTATTCCTCCATATGGTCATTTCTTTCATTCAGAACTCAATGTTATTAAGGTCAAAAGAATGAATATCTATGTTAAAAGTCTTCCGAAACATATCTAGAAACAGTATAACGAAAAGACACCTATAAATAGTTTTGAGCTACAACTATCTAGATTTTCCCACTTACTTTAATGTCAGTTTTGAAGAATTTGAATAATTTACAATAGATTTTCACAATAATTACCACACATCCTACGCTTGTCGTACTTATAATACTTAAAACATTTTTTTTCTGAAAACAATTTGACAGTATTGATGATTTTGTCAAAAGCGTTCTAAGGACGTTGTTCTAAATGCTATTTG